TTTCCAGCGTATAAGACGATCCCCTAATTTTACAGTTAGTTTAGGCCTATATTCGCTGTATAAGACTACCCCCCACTTCCGAGGCAACACCAGTTCTTTTTTTAATAGACCGCCTCTCTGACTCTGGCCAATTTGAGCAGGCTTTTTACTAGAACACAGTGTAACTTCGGGTACAGAACATGTAAAATTTGCATGCATAAAAAGCCTGCTTGGATTGGCTGAGTCAGAGAGGCGGTCTATTAAAAAAAGAACTGGTGTTGCCTCGGAAGTGGGGTAGTCTTATACAGTGAATATAGGCCTAAACCTATGTTTTAACTGTAAAATTAGGGGGTCGTCTTATATGCCCGGTCGTCTTATACGCTGGAAAATACGATATGTTGTGTCTTGGTGTAGTCCTCTTTGGATTCCTTTTGTTTGGAGTTCTGTGTGCTTCTTGGACTTGTAAGTCTATTTCTTTCACCAGGTGGGATGAAAGAAATTTTTCTGTCATTATTTCTTCAAATAGGTTTTCAGAATCTTGCTCTCTCTCTTCTCTGGCACCCCCATAATTCTGCTGTTGGTTCGCTTGAAGTTGTCCCAGAGCTCCTTACACTATCTTCAACCTTCTGGATTCTCTTCTCTTCTTGCTTCTCTGAAAAAGTGTCCTTTGCTTCTTTATATTCCAAATCTTTGACTTGATTCTTGTGTTTCTCTAGTCTGCTTTTGGGTATAGTATTTTTTAGTTCAGTCAGTGTATGTTTAAATTCTAGTTGGTCCTTTTTCATATCCTCGAGGGTATCATTAAATTTATTGGCCTTTTCTAGGAAATTCTTGAAAAATCTTATAACCTAGGTTTTGAACTCTATATCCAGTCATTTGTTGTCCTCCATTTCTTTCATTTGTGATTTGTTTCCTTGTCTCGGCATTTTCACTGCTTCCCTGAGTTGGTAGGGTGGCTTTGTGTGCTGGGAGTCCTATATGGTTCAATGGGTAAGCCTCCCAGTTACCTGAGGTGGACACTCTTGGTGCACCCCTTTGTGGACTGTGTATACAACCTTGTTGTAGTTAAGTCTTTATTGTTGTTGATGTCACTGGGAGGAATTGACCTCCAGGCCAATTGGCTGTGAGGACCAGCTGTGTCTATAGTGGAAGAATTGCTGTGCTGGAGACACGTTTATGGGGCAGGACTTGTTTCAGTGGGGCTTTGGTGCTCACTGAGTCTGCCTCTTGAATGTCTCCTTTATGAGAGTAGTTGAAATCTGGTGTTGTCTCACATCGACCAGTAATTCACTAGTTTCCAGATCTCCAATGGGGTGCAGGTTAGCTACTATCTGAGGCCACCCTGCAGGAGCTACAACAACTACTGTTTTCTCTTCTTTGCTTGGGATTTGGGGGTTTTGGAGCAGTCTGACTGTTGCTGCAGTTTATTCGGTTAAGCTGCCAGAGGGTAGGCCATTTATATGCAAAAGCTGCTGTGAGGAGCCAGGGTGGGTTTGTAGAATGTGCAGGGCGGGGCTTCAGGGCGGGGCGGGGTCTCGGGGGGTCACTAAGCTGGGGCGTGGCAAACAGCGATGGCTGCTGTCAGCCCTCTCTGCCTTTCTGCATTTCCAAGTCCCCGAGTCCCCGAGTTCCAGTGCAGTAAACAATGATTGCTGGGCACACCTCTGCAAAAAAGTCACCCTCACTTTCAGACATAATGGCCGACAGACCAGCTTCTCCCTGTTGGCATTTGGGTCCCCTGCGTGACCACAGAAACTGGATTTCAAAGTGATTGGGAGCTTGTTTCCCTTCAGGTTGAAAAAAAGCCTCGCTCCCAGTCTCCTGCCACCAGCCCGATTTGAGTGTCTCTGTACCTCAGCTTTTCAGTGCTTGTGCTCTTTTCTCTTTCCTTCTTGTTGTAAGACTTCCATTCAGCCAGCTTTACCATGGTTCTGGGTGATGGACGTTTTGTCTTTTAGTTGTACTTTTGAAATTGTTATGCAAGGCGGCAGATTAATTTTTTACCTTTGCCGCCATCTTGGTTTCTCTGCTCTTGGCATTTTAATTACTATGTGTCTTCATGTACTTCTCTTTAGATTCCTTTTATTTGGGGTTCTCTGCACTTCCTGGACTTATAAGTCTATTTCTTTCATCAGGTGGGGGAAGTTTTCTGTCATTATTTCTTCAAATAGGTTTTCAATATTTTGCTCTCTCTCTTTTTCTGGCACCCCTATAATTCTGATGTTGGTACGCTTGAAGTTGTCCCAGAGGCTCTTTTCACTATCTTCACAATTCAGGTGTTCTGTAGTGAAGTAGTGAAGTGTTGTTCACTTCAGCCTAGCTTCAGTGACCCATGGGGGCTGGCTTAAGACCCCTCTCTACTCTTTTGCCTGCCACGTGTCACTTTCTTGTCAGGTAGTCAGCATAGTGTTGAAGTTCCCAGTGATCCACTGCTCCTCTCTGTCAGATGCCACAATTTTGGTTTCAGGCAGGCGGGATCAATCTTCCCACTTTGTTTTTCTGCCTGCTTTCAGGTGCATTTACACAAGCATCTATTTCTGACACAGACCCTATGTGGTGGTGTTTCTGTAGTAGTTTCCGGGACCAAATGGTCCCTCAACCCAATGTTTAGACTTTTTCCCTGCTGTACTCAAGACTGGGTTGGAGGGATGAACTGTCCCAGAGCTGGTTTCCTGCTCATCTCTCCCTATTCTGTTCCCCATTTTTCCACGAAAAACCACCTTCCCCTGCAGTCTCAGTGAGTGTTTTTAATTGGAAGATCCTATGTACTGGGCTTAGCAAGGAAAAGCAAAGAAGTAAAAAAGATAAAGCAGCCCCGCTGCCCCGCTTTTTTCTTCCCCTGCCACTGTGTGGCCAGTTTGGAGAACTTTAGGCTGCCTTTCTGGGCACAGTTTCCCATGGCTGTGGGCTTAAATCTAGTCTCTCTGCCAGCAGCCCTGTGGACCCCTTTCTGTATCTGAGGGGTTCACTGACCCTAAGTGCCGCAGATTTGGTGCAGCGCAGTCTCCCTTTTAGGTTCTAGTCCTGGCTGCATGTGTTTCTTCCTCCAGTCCAGATCCCCAATCCCACCTCTCTACAGGCGATCTTTGATCTTTCTTACCACAGATTATCTCACCAGCTATGTTTAATTCGCCAATTCTGAATGGATATTATTTGATTCAATTGTTTCCTCTGTCTGCTCTGTGAGAAGGCATAGGACATGTGCACCTATTCAGCCACCACCTTGTCTCCCCCTGGACAAACTTTTTAGGTGCCCACATCCAGGGAGGCTGGAGTCTCAGTGTTCAATGGGTTTGCAGCTGAGGCAGCTGTTGACTGGGCCTTGTGGCTGTAGGGCCCTGGGTAGTGCCGGAAGTGTCCATGGGTGAAGGTAAAGCTGGGCTTCCAATCACAGCCACTCTCCCTCTCAATTTGGCATGGTTTCTGTGGCAGAGCTGGTTTCCCTAGGAGAGATTTTAGCATTAGTAGAGGCTGCCCGTCCAGAGAAGCTTGGTCCACCAGTTCCCAATAGTCCTGTGAAATATAACTGTCCCTCACTCACAAATACACACACTCCCCACATGCCCACACACTCTCCTTTCGCTCTCTCACACTATCTTGCTTACTGCTGTCCTGTTGTTCACCATCTTGGATCTCAAAGGTATTATATATTTTAAATTATTTTTTAAAAGTCTAATTTATTTAAAAATTCATTTACTCAAAGGTCTATATTTTAAAAAGTTTGTAAACCACAGAAAATGCATCACATAGTGAAAGTAAGAGACAGGATAGTGCTTTAAGCAGGCTTGCAGTTATATGTGTCTTTTGCACTTTCCTGGCAGCTGTTTGCTACTCTGTTTGAGCTTTGTAGATTTGTGATTCAGGGCATTCTGGACTTAAGAAGGCCACTTGCAGGAGAGATCCTGGGCACAGGGACTTTCACAGCCACATCATCTTCCTTTTGAGGGCTCTTTCTTGTTCTTTGAGCTTATTGTCTATTTAAGAATACTTGTGGAATGAAATGGAAGTGATTAGTTCATCAATTCATGAGTTATAGAATATTAAATGTGTAGCATTGTGAACAAACAATCCTATATAATAAAAGCCTTATATGCTAAGTGTCCAGTTGGCCATTCTACCAAAGTGTAAAATGCTAATGATATGCTAAGGATGCTTAATTGCTTGCTATGATGTGCACTAACCATCAGAGGACAGACAACCGGTTGACCACTTGCTATGATGTGCACTGACCACTAGCGGCAGACACGAAATGCAGGAGCAGAAACCGCAGGCATGGAAACATGGAACAGACCGATGAATCTCAGAGGAAAGGGAGGGGGGAGGGCGGGAAGAGATTAATCAAAGATCTTATATGGATTCATGCACCGGTGGGATCCCTCGGCCTGGCCTGTGGGGATCAGGCCAAAATCGGCCCAGTGCACAGATTTGTCTACCAGTGGGGTTCCTTGGCCTGGCCTGTGGGGATTGGGTCGAAATTGGCTCTCCAACATCCCCTGAAGGGTCCCAGATTGCAAGAGGGTGTAGGCCAGGTCGAGGGGCCCCACTGGTGGATGAATTCATGCACCAGGACTCTAGTACTTTACAAAAATTGATTGTATAGTTAATACTGAAGAAAATACTAAATGAAAATTATTTTGTAGTTATACTAAAGGCCCGATGCACAAGATTCATGCAAGAATGGGCCTTCCTTCCCCTGGCTCCTGGCACTACCTTTGCTCTGGCTTGGAGCTGCCTTTCCACCTTCCCATACTGTCCAGAGGCCCAGAGTGACTGGGGTGGTGTGGAACACCTGCGTCCCACCCCCAGCTACTTGGCACCTGTGTATGCAAATTAACCCACCATCTTTGTTGGGTTAATTTGCATACTCCTGATTGGCTGGTGGGCATTGCAAAGGTATAGCCATTTGCATATTTCTCTTTTATTAGTGTAGATTATTTTAGGTATCAGATATTTACCATTTAAAATTGCCATTTATTAAATATGTCATATCTTACAGTTCTTGTCCTTTGTTTTGCTTTTAGTTCTAGAAAAGGTACCAGTGTAAAGCTCAAAACGCCTCCTGTAGCTGAAGCTGGGTGGAATTTGTATATTGTGAATACAATCTCACCAGTGCAACTGTACAAAGAAATGGTATTCCTTTCAGACTTCTCATTCTTATTTGTAGAAATATAGAGTGAAATTGATGACCAAAAATGGATTCTAACTATCTTACATTCAGAATGCCACACCCACCAGCTTTGTCTGTACATCTTTCTCCATCTTTTTATTTTTTCAACTCCTGGCATTTGAGGAGCAAGTAGAATTTCCCTTCATGAAAATAAGACTGCCATATTCATACCATCATCCTATGAGCATTGATTAACCAATCTAAATATAAATAGCCTTTGACTTTTATTTTGAATCCTAGCAAAGAGAACCTTGAAATAAATCTTAGATCATTTATCCCTGTCTCATTCTTCTTTGAAATAGCAGGTTTTCCCTGGGCACTGCAGCACCTGTAGCGTAGTCCTGTGGGTAGGGCCCCAGAGTGGGCATTCTTTCTTTTTTTAGACATTCTTACTCCTTTTCTAAAAGTGACAGCTGCCAACTCATTTATTTTGAAATATATAATTTCAAAATTACAGAAAAGTTGCAAAAATAAGAATAGTACAAATAAAACCTGTATATTCCTCACATAGATTTACCCTGAGTGTATATCCCTTGCTTCTCTCTCTTTCTCTCCCTCTCTCCCCCCCCCCCCCCTTTTTACTTTTTACACACCCAAAACACACATGTTGTTTTCTGATCCTTTGGAAAATAAATTGCATAGATCATAGTTTAAGGCTAAATACTTCAGTGTGTGTTTCCTAAGAATCAGGATATTTGCTTGTATAACAGTACAGTCATGTGCTTTAGTACATTTAACACTTACACAATACTTTAGTCTCTGGTTCATATATTGTCAGTTACCCTAATGGTCTAATAGCATTCCCCTGTTCTGACCCAGGATCCACTCTGGCATCATGATTTCATTTGTCATATCTCTTTAGCCCTTTAAATTCTGGAATATATTCACAGCCATTTTTATGATATAAACATTTTTGAAAAATATATTTTCCCTTTTCCACCTTTTATAATTTTTCATGAGTAGCTTATTCTTCTTGGCTAGAATATTGCACAGGTGATCAAGTAGTGTTTAATGTGTTTCTCAGGGTATGATTGGTGATGTTAATTTTGATCATCAGGTCAAGGTTTTGCCTGATATGTCACAAGCATTTTAATGCTGATGATTATATCAGCTTTGCCCTGGTTTTTAATTGAAACTCTGAGACTTCATCTAGATGATTTGCCTACTAGAATCTGTACAAATACAGATTGATTCAGATAGCTCTTGATAATTTTTTAAATATATATTTTATTTATTTTTTACAAAGAGGAAGAGAGAGGGACAGAGAGTTAGAAACATTGATGAGAGAGAGTTATTGATCAGCTGCCTCCTACACACCAAGGCACATGCCCTTGACCGGAATCGAACCTGGGACCCTTCAATCCGCAGGCCTGATGTCTATCCACTGAGTCAAATCGGTTTCGGCTCGTGATAATTTTTTATCAGCCCTCTGCAAGTTATAGAAATAGATGTAGTATGATTTCATTTCACCAATTGAAACTAACAGATGGGATACTCAGTCTGAATTTGAGAAATATTTAAATCATAGAACTTTTAAAAAGAGTTAACTATTTCAGAAGTTCATTAGCTTTATTGCTAAGTTAACAGTATTGTTAGTATTACAGTATTATTTGTACTTTTTCTAATGAAGAGTGCTTTTTAACAAAGGAGTATTTACAATTGTGTGTATAAAACTGGCTCATGGATTGGGAGGGGGTACTTTAGCTAGGCCCTGTCAGAATGATAAATAATCACTCTTTCGGACTTAATGTTCTAAATATTAATTTTATTAACAAAATATATAAATATTCTTAGGAACTGGGAAATTTTTAGGAGTTTTTCTGCTGCAACATTAGCTGTTTGCCTTTTCATTTTAGGTAGACTACAGTAATACCTATAAAACTGCAAAAACCCAGAGCTGCATCCACCTTCTTAGTGAGGCCCATCTGTTAGTGAGAGCTGCCCTGATGGATGCCAGTCAGCTGGAACCTGGAGAAAAAGAAGAGCTTTTAGAAGCATTTAAAGAAAGCTGTGGGCACCTTGGAGATTGTTACAGCAGGTTGATGATGCTTTTTGGAAACTTGTTAGAGAAACTGTCTTGAGCTTTCGGTGTACTTGCTATCTTTTCCCTCTCTGGTAGTTACCTAATAATTGGGGGTACGCATGAGGGGAGGTGCCTCCTTTATTTCACAAGCATTTGTTGAGCACATACAATGTCCCAGATATTGTGCTAAGCTTAGAGGTACAAAGATGAATGTTACCTGCCTTCAAGTAGTTACTTTATTGGGTGAGTAGTGAATCTCAAGTTCATGAGTCTCCCACCACTTATGAATTGGAAGTTTCTTTTCAAGCCTCAAGATGGGGGTATTGTGGGGCATTATCAATAAAATCCCTGACAGTGAAAGCTGAATTACTAGTTTATTTCTTGTTAGCTTTAAGGGAGAGATACCAGTTGAATGTTGTGTGGTTTTTTAATCTTAGTAGTCAATGTTTTTATGATGCCAGAAAAGGACACTAGTATGAATAACAATTTTTATTTCTGAGAATGATGTTTATAAATTGTTTTGTATATGATTGTTTCAAAGCCTTATTTGACCCTGGGGCATGATTATAAATTAATAAAACAGACTTATTCTACCTATAAACATCATTATTTTAGAGCCACATCATGAAAATAAAATTCATTTAATGAATTTTTTTTTCTATTTTTATTATGGTCAAGCAAAAATAAATACATTAATTAGAAGGGCTTTGCAGAATAAAACTTAGGAGCTTATTCCAATTACTAATGAGAGTAGAAAAGTATTTTGAGAATTATGTCATCTGGAAAGCATAATCTGTTTTATTATGAAGCATATTAGATACTTCGGCTTAAAAATGAAAAATCTGAGCTTTCTTTGGTTTCTTTTCTTCAGGCTTGATACCCAGTATTCCCACCTCGCTTTGCCCTACTATAAGATGTCTGGTTTGTCTCTGGCTGAAGTTTTGACTCGAGTGGACTGGGCAGTTGAGGATGGATCACAGAAATATGAGAGAGGGTTAATCTTTTACATTAGTCATTCACTTTATGAGAACCTGGATGAAGAATTAAGTGAAGTGAATATGATTTTCTATTTAGTTATATCTAATATTTTAAAGTTTTTATTTTAGCAATTTATTTTATGTAATACCACTAAGAAGTCAAGTTCCAAATATTTTCCTTGGTAATAGTTTCTTTTCCTAAAATGGTAACTAATGTGCCCCTTTCTTTATTAGTAATTATAGAATTATAGCTTGGAAAGGAATTTACAATCCTCTTCTCATACTTTCTCATTATATAGACAAAGAAATGTGGTCCATTGTGATTGAGTGACCTGTCCAATGTAACAGCTGCTTGTCTTTAAAAGAATGGCACAGAAATGTGGGCATTGCTTCCCTCTCATCTGCAGCCCTTTCACAACCCTAGTCACCCCACTCTCCATGTGCCCAAAGCTTCACTTATAATATCCTGGCCTAGTGACCACAACACATAATAAGGATTATTTGTAGCTCCTTGTGTTTTTTTTTTAGTTTTTAAAAATATGTTTCTATTGATTTTAGAGATAGATAAACATTGATGTGAGAGAGAAACACTGATTTGTTGCCTCTGGTATGCACCCTGACTGGGGATTGAACCCCAACCCAGGCTTGTGCCCTGACCCAGAATTAAAACATTGACTCCCAGTGTACAATGCCCAACCAATTGAGCCATACCAGCCAGGCCCTCGTGTATTTTTAAAAAGATGAATACAGATTTCCAAAGTTAAATATTGTGATACCAAATGTTTTAAGATTTGGAGAGAAATAAAAATTCTTAGTAAATTACCCCATTAAGTATATTTTTTACTAATTTGAATTTCTTATAATGGTCTTTTGAGTGTGATATAATCTAATATTTTCTTCTTCTGAATGCTTGTTAAAGTTAGAAGTACTGGCCACAATTCAGTGCATACTTTCACTGCTTTTTCATTTTAACTCAGCAAAGAAATTACTTCAAGTAATCTGAGTTCTCCCACATTTTCATCATCAATTTGTCTTTTTAAATCAAAACATAATATTGTTATTTTATTTTAATTGAAATGTTATATCTTAGCTTTGTATAATTATTTACCCCTGATTGTGTTGCTTTCTGTTGACTGACTGGCCTTTTATTTCTCATTTATACTCACCTAAGGAATTAGCTGTAAAAGTGGTTCAGATGTTTCATATGGTTGAGCCAAAGCAGCTGCCCCATATCCTCTGTAGTCCTTCTATGAAGAATATTAACCCTTTAACTGCCATGAGCTATCTAAGGAAACTGGATACTTCCGGGTTTTCATCAATCTTAGTGACGTTGACCAAGGCAGCAATGGCTCTGAAAATGGGAGACCTTGACATGTACAGAAATGAAATGAAAAGCCATTCAGAGGTATGGTGCCCTGCCTGGTATTAACAGCAGGCTTAAATAAAACCAGTAGTCCTGAGGTGTTTAACTTTCTTCTGGCTAGTTCATTTTTTCTTAGTCATAAAGGAAAATAGACTTGACATTATAAAGGAAGTGACCCAGAGGGAACGCTTGAGCTTTGGATCTGGCAAATAAAAAAGAATTATAAGGGCAGCAGTGGGTATCCAAAGACCTTTCAACTTAGGTACATTTAGAGCATGGGAAATACAGAGGCTCTTTCTGAGCCGACAGCATGAGGGAATGCCAGGCCCACTGAAATAGAGTGAAGTGTATTCAGTACAGCAAGTGGGATATTAGCTGTGAGTCTTAGGAGTCTAGTGGTTGCAAAAATTGCTTGCACTTGGGAAAATCACAAAGGACTATATGGAGGATTGGGCATTTGAATTATGTAGCAAAGAAAAGGTAGCTTTCCCTTGAAAGATAGGCCATTTGGGGGCATGAGCCAAAATGTTAATTATTGGGGAAAGAAATTATGAGGTAACATTAATTGAACAATGTTCCAGGCCTATTCCCTTGCATATGTTCTCATTTAATTTTTGCAACAATGCTATAAGGTAGATGCTATTATTGTACTTATTCAATAGATAAGGGAACTATGCAAAGAAAGGTTAAATAACTTTTCAGGTTAAATAATCCTGGAGAATGTAGAACCAGGATTTAAAGCAGGCAGGTTGTATTCAGATCTGTGCTCCTACTCTATTGTTTTACTGCCTGACCATAGGCAAACACCCACAGCACAACTTTGGTTTCTAAAATAAGAAAAGCAAGTCAACATTGAGGTATCCTTTGCTTTGAAGAGTAGAATTCTAGAAAGATGAATTTTCTTTCCATAATTTTGAAAAAACTTAAGGTATATTATTATTAAATCAAGTAAGCTTAAATATAAAGCTCTCTTCAAAAATAGGGCATCTTGATTAAATATTAATTAAATATTAATAACTTTTATGAAGACAGTTAACTGATGTTCTTAAAGTAAGAACTGGTCTTTATAATTAAAGAAAAAAATTGAGAATAAAGTAAATTATTAATAGCTTAACCATGAATCTTGAATGCACTAGTATGTATTTATAAGACAAATGCAATGTACATTTTGTTCCTAAATTTCTTTTTTATCTTTAGATGAAATTAGTATGTGGCTTTATTCTTGAACCTCGGCTATTGATTCAACAGAAGAAGGAACAGATGTTTCCAACTGAGCTTGCAGTTCACTTGAAAGAGACCCAGCCTGGGTTGCTTGTGGCTTCAGTCCTGGGGTTGCAGAAGAACAACAAAATTGGAATTGAAGAAGCAGATTCCTTCTTTAAGGTTTGTCAATTTCCAAATGTAAATTGTTCTAGATAAAATTGGTGGGGGCCAGGGAGCAGAATAAGAGAAGTGAGTTTTTATTTATTTATTGAAAAGAAACAAACTTAGACATAATCAATTTATAAAAGGATACATGTAGAAAATTTTCATCCATGCAAGCTCTAATTTGTTTCCTGTTAAAATGTCTAAGTGTGCTGTGGTATGGCACTAATGTTAAAGATAGGTTATGAAATGCATGGCCCACATGATGGAATGCTGTTTGAACCAGTTTTAACTCAATCAATACTATATTTATTTGTGATATGGGGGCTTGTTTCACACGTTCAAGGTGCTCTGTGGTAAGAATGGAGATACAATTCCTCAGCTCTTGGTAGACTTTTGGGAAGCTCAGCTGATAGCATGTCTCCCAGATGTGCTACTGCAGGAACTCTTTTTCAAGCTCACATCACAATACATCTGGAGATTATCGAAGAGGCAGCCCCCTGACACCATACCATTGCGAACATCAAAGGATCTGGTAAGATAATGGAATAATACATTACACATTACAATAGTCTGCATTCTTATTTTGAATGGCTTTAAATTAATACTAAATTTTATCACCAGATATCACTTTTTAAAAAAATATATCTTTATTGATTTCAGAGAGGAAGGGAGAGGGGAAAAGAAATAGAAACATCAATGATGAGAGAGAATCATTGATTGGCTGCCTTCTGTATGTCCCCTAATGGGGATTAAGGACACATCCAGGCATGTGTCCTTGACCGGAATCAAACCTGGGACCCTTCAGTCCACAAGCTGATGCTCTATCCACTGAACCAAACTAACTAGGGCACCAGATATCTTTTTAAAGCAGGAATTAAAAGTATATTTTGAACTTGTCCATGGGTGAAGTTGCCCAAATCCTAATAAAAGGGTAGAATGCAAATTGGTCCTAATAATGGGCCAATTGGGAATGATCAGTTGCTATGACATGCACTGACCACAAGGGGGCAGACGCTCAACACAGAAGCTGCCCCCTACTGGTCAGTGTGTTCCCAACAAGGGGAGCTCTGCTCAGCCACAAGCTAGGGTGGGCTGTGAGCACAGCAGTGGTGGCAAGAGCATCTCCTGCCTCCTCAATAGCACTAACGATCTCCAACTGCCAGCTTAGGCCTGCTTCTGGACTGCAAGAGGACACAGGCCGGCTGAGGTACCCCTCTTGAGTTCACAAATTTTGTGCACTGGGCTCTAGTTTTAAATATTTTTTTTTATTCTAAAGAGTGCCTGTACTGCCTCTGACTTGCAGTGGTACCTCAGTAATTAAAGCATGAGGGGAGGGGCTATCCTAGAACATGCCTGTGCTTCCCAGGATAGCCATGAAGTAGAACACAAGAAAAGACATCTGCTGGCCTCCCTTACATGTGAGGGACTGTGGAAAGGATCTCATTATGTCCTGTTAGCCACACACTTAAGAGCCCTCACCACTGCTTTTACCCATCCTGCTCATTTCCCCTGCCAGCTTCTCTGCCTTTCATGGATGCCACAGCTAACTGAATAAGACACCCATTTTTTTTTTTTTAAAGATATATATATATTTTTTTTATTAAATTATTTTTTTTGTACATAGACCAATGCCCCCCCTCCCGTACATACCCTTCCTCCCCAGAGTTTTGTGTCCATTGGTTGTACTTATATGCATGTATGCAAGTCCTTCGGTTGATCTCTTATCTCCCCCAGATCTCCCCACCTCCCCGCTGTAATTTGACAGTCTGCTTGTTGCTTTACTGTCTCTATATCTATCTTTTGGTTCTTCAGTTTATAATGTTCTTTATCATCCATAAATAAGTGAGGTCATGTAAAACACCAACTTTTTGAATAAGAGGGCTTTTAGGGGAATCATCTTGAGAACTTATAGAGAGATTTTGTCTCCCAAGGAAAGTAGTGGAAATAAAAATTATTTCCAATATTTTTGTTAACTTTTTAAAACTGAAACCTTCTTCAGGGGAATAGGTTTTAAATGACTTCCCTTCTCATTCCCAGGAAGGTGTATACTTAACTCTGCAACACAGCTGAGGACTAATGATTGCTTGTTCTATTTAGCATGGATGAAGAACATCTGTTTTGTTGTATTATGTTTATATTAATTTCTTTTACTTTTTAGATAAATGCCTGTAGCCATTATGGCTTAATCTATCCATGGGTTAATGTCTTAATAACATCTGATTCCTTGGCTGACAAAAATTATACAGAAGATCTCTCCAAATTACAGGTAAATGAAAATGCCTCTTTTTAATGAGTATACATATTACAATTTAATGTAAGATATAAATTTGTAGGACTTCAGATATGTTAATCTAGAATGTATAATTTTGAGGGGAAAATCCACAGGCATGCTCAGGAGCTCTCCTGCCTCTCTCTGAAACTACTCACAGGAAAGCTCCTTTCTTTACCATAAATGAGTCACATGACTGTCTTGGCTTTTTTTCAGCACGTGCTTGAAAACACTTTGTGAAATGCATATATGGCAAATGTTTAGCAGAGGTTTTTTTTTGCTATGATTCATGTTTTTTCAGTCTTCACTCATACATTTTAGGCCTCTAGCCCAATCCATCCACCACTGTCTTTGTTTTGTAGGAAATAGTTCAAAGTAGCCAATTTATCTGGCTCCTGAAAGGATAAAAAAAAAAAAAAGAAAAGAAAAGAAAAAGGAAGAAGTGTGATCAGAGAATATAGATAATCCATTTCTTGCAGGAATTCTGACTGTGACAGTGTTTTGACCAGAATGAGAAATAAAATCTACATTTGACTTGGCGGACCAGGCTGGGCTAGATGTGAATATGATTTTGTTTAATAATAGTTCAATGGTCCAAGGATCAAATAGAACCCAAAAATCTGTTTTGTTGGTCGTCTGGTCTATCTACTAACACATAAAAATTAAGCATTTTGAGTTTCACTTTTCTCTTGAAAAATTCAGCAGACCTGGTAACCCTGGTCTTTTGCCTAAGAACTGTGGGTTGGAGCCAGACAGTGGCTGTCTGTCTTGCAGCTACAGTTTTTGGTACAGACACTGAGCCTATAGTGTCCAGTTTCCTTAAAACCAGCGGCCTTTTGGCTTTCTTAGGTTTTTGAGCTTGGAGCTCCTCATTTTCCCTGGGAACAGGTATAAGTGTGGTTATTGCTTATGGAAACCAAAATTGGGGATGGTGGTTGGGAGGGAAGCTCAGAAGGTAGTATTGCTTGGATAGCCTCTGTGTTATCTCCAGAAATAAAGTTACATTCTTAAAAAATCAATAGAGGAGAGTTTTGTTGGTCCTCATTTTTAGTACCCTTATGATGTAGAGGCTACTGAGCCTCAGGCTTGTTCATTCCACAGATATTCCTTGAACATATACTGTAAATTTGTACAGCATGGGACCAGGCAGGCAGGGCCTTGCTCTCCTGGAACATGTGCACTAATCATCTATTTAAAATAGTAATTGTAACAAGTGTTATTAAATCTCACCTGAGAAAATATATTTGTAATCACTGCTTGAGAAAGTATAATATAGAGGTCTCTTAAAAAGGAGTCTTTGCTGTTAAAGGATAGAAATGTAGTCAGCCTATACGTCTCTAAGTCACTTTCCTAATTATATCTCTTTCTAGATTATCTGTAGGTCAATTAGTCTTTTAAATAATTAAAAAATATTACAATTAAGTAAAACAAAACAGTAGGACAGTTGGCCCTTGAGCATCATGGGTTTTGGGAGCACCAGCTGCCTGCACAATGGAAAATTCATATGTAACTTGAGTTATTAAGAATCAAGAAGATTTTATGTAGTTCTCACCTAGAGGAATGGGAAGGTTCAGGATCACCCGGAGAGGTTTCTCAAAATTGTATGACTCCCTCCACCCTTACCTACCACCATTACACAGATTTGATGTGTCTCTTGGCCTCAGTCATTGTGACAGTATACATTTGTGCAAAAATTAAAATAAAAACAATATAGAAATCACCTACATGTCAAAAAGCTGCTGTCTGAAATGACACAGTAAGTAGTAAATGCCCTGCCTTTGCCAAAATTTTCACGGCTCCTACCCCACTTCCTTGTCCCACACCTCACCTTTAGAGCAGCAGATGATTGAGGTGGTAGAGGAGCCCCAGAAGTCTGAAATCCAGTCCTGCAGAGCCAGCTGAGCGCAAGGGATCTAAATCAGAGAAGGGAATAAATGGTACTGTGCTGGGGGCGGAGAGGAGTCTATTTCCTATCCTAAAAGAACAGTGGAGCAGTCTGCTAAGAAGCAGACAGCACATGGAGTATTTTAAAGGGCAGTAATAACCTTTGGACCATTTTTAAATTCAGTAATATATGTATTGTCTGGTGTATTTTACTTTTAAACTTCTTGATAAAACTAAGGAAAAGTTTATGAGTAATTATTTTGTACCAAGCTTTAACTAATTGCATTTTAACCATGCCTTGCTCCTTCTGATATAGAAATAATCTTTTATGTTGGGAGATCTATGAGTGGCAACTTATCAACTTATTTTGTGTTTGCTATCTTACTATCAGGAAATTATTCATATGGGAAGGTGATTATTAAACTTGCAGGAAGGAAATGGATTGACATTATTCTCCTAGCCATTTCTTGGTAGAGATTGGAATAAAATAAACATGCTGACTATAAATAGATAATTCATATTCTATATCATCTTGTGAACTTGAGAAGCTGTAGCAAAAAGGATACAGGAAGAAGAAAATCAGTATATGATATTCTCATCTTTATCGAGAAGAAAGGTAGTAGAATAAAAAATATTATAATTAAGTAAAACAAAATAGTAGGACAGTTGGCCCTTGAGCATGATGGGTTTTGGGAGCACCAGCTGCCTGCGCAATGGAAAATTCATATATAACTTGAGTCAACCCTCAGCTCTGCCCATTGACCCTTGAATGACGGGTTTGAACTGTGTGGGTAACTTGAAAAAATCTGCATATACGTAGACCCATGCAGTTCAATTCCACAATACTAAGGGTCAACTGTGTTTATATAATAGTTTAAGTACTTAGAAGTAAAATATTGGTTACTGTTCTGAATACTGAAATAATACTTGCTTTTTTATTCAGCTTGTGGCAAATGGTATTGATACAGATTATTAGGTTCTTAACAGTTGTGTTAGTTTTCTTAAGTGTTAAATTTAATTTTGGTTATATGTTTAATGCATGCTTATTACAGGAAAAAGACACAAGTAGGCTTTGTCTTCCCATTCAGCTGATCTCTGTCTCAAATTCTATGCTCTCCTAAAGACATTTCTATATGTGTATGGACTTATGAAGATTTTATGAAACTGATCATGCTCTGAATATAATTTTGTATTAAGATGTTTTTACTCATCATTTTATCTTATTTCATCATTAAATGGCCTTCGAAAACAATTTTGGTGGCTATATAATATTTCATTATACAGATGCACCATAATTTACTTATCTCTTTTTGTATAACATTTAGGTTGCTCCTACTTTTCAATATTATAAATATTCTTGTGGTGAACATCATTGGACATAAATCATTGACCATGATGTTGATTATTTCCTTAGGATGGAGTCCCTAAAGCATTCCCATTAGTTTTTAAATGCAGTCTATGCAAAGTAAATAAAATCATGTTATTTTTTAAATTACTGCTTTCTATAAAATAGATTGTTATTCTTCAAACTAGAAGTGGTTAAATATTATTTAATACTTCACTTAAGCTTAATGAGTATCATATATGTGTGCTCTAAAATTGCATTCTTCTTTTTCTTAAAAAAATTGTACTTTCATATGTTGTGCTCTAGATTTTGGGGTGCCTCATTCCATAACGTTTCACTTTTCTGTTCATAGTCTCTTATATGTGGTCCTTCATTTGACATAGCTTCCATTGTTCCGTTCTTGGAGCCCCTCTCAGAAGACACTGTTGCTGGCCTCAGTGTCCAGGTTCTGTGCCGGACACGTCTGAAAGAGTATGAGCAGTGCATAGACACACTGCTAGAGAGGTGCCCAGAGGCGGTCATTCCATATGCTAATCATGAACTGAAAGAAGAGAATCGGGTATGCTTTTCAGATTACATTTTCTAGATCAGTGATAATCAGATTTGATCATCTTGTTGACTTTTCTGCAAAATGGGGACAGATTAATGCCAGTCTAGTTTCACAGGCTGTGCAGGTCAAATGAACAGATGTATTTAACATGCTATGTGTTTTGAGTACTGTTAGGGGCTATTAAAATATATGGTGATAGTATATTATCTTCATTAAAAATCACTCATTTGAAGATGAAGTAAGCTATTTCCCATAATGATAATGGGAAAATATTTTTCTGGGCTCTCTGGTCTTTAGAAATTAGAGATCTAGACTTTATCCTTTTTCTTTTCTTTCTTCCTTCTTGCTACCTCAGAGATAATCCAAGACATGTGTATGTTTCTTCGTGAACATAGCTATGTACTTATGCACAGTATACATATTATTAGATTTTCACACTACAAATCTGACTTCCATGTTATAGTTTAACCAGAAGACTGACTGGTGATACAACTTCTGTTATAATAAAGTTGCCACCTTAACCATAATGATGCATTTTTGTCCAGTACTTTCCTGCATGATCTTCTCATTCTTTTTAGAAATAATGTAAAATGCAGTAAACTTAAAATTTATTCATTTTTTCTAAGATAGACTTTATGGTGGAAAAAACTGCTGCCTGAACTTTGTCAGAGAATAAAATGTGGTGGAGAGAAATATCAACTTTACCTGTCATCATTAAAAGGTAAAATGATCATTTTTGCTTGATTATATATTTAATTGCATCTTAGCTTTAGTTTCCACAATTTTTTGAAGCCCTGCTTTCTCGAGTTTTTTCATCTGATTCTCAAGTGAAGCAAATAGTTTCTCCTAATCATCTGGAGCTGACTTTCAGTGTTCATACTCCCCCATTGCATTTGACATGCTTTCATCTCTTCTAGCTACAGAGTTAACCCTTTCAGTTAATCTTTTCAAATGTAAGTTATCATAGTACAGAAACAACCTCAGGATTTCAAAAATTGGGATTTTCATTAACACAATTACATTTTTATTAGTGGTTAATTTACTTCATGTAGGAAATTAAGATGGTTATTATTAATCATAATTATAAGCAATTATTGAAGAATTACAAGGTTCTCAAGGATTTAAAAGTGGAGTGTCTTTAAATTATGCAGTATTTTATAGCATTGATAGTTATTTTTTAAATTTTCAAAATAATCCTTTGAAAATTTTGATAGATACATGGTTATCAAGTTCTTACTCTTGTGTTTATATCACTACTTAATTGTTGGCCTGATGACAGAGGGTGTGGTTACATTGATTCCAGTGTTGAAGTTGTATTTTCTAGCAGAGCTCATTGGTCTTTAAAGAGTTAGGCAGAATCAGCAGTTATTGGAAGGATTTTTTCTGAAAAATCTCCCTTCATGATTGGAAGGAGGTGACTATACACTAACATTTTGTGCTTATTGTTTTTTGGTTTTCAGAAGATAGAAGCGTTAGGTGTTTGATTGCTTGGCCCACCTGCATCACATTTATCACAGAATTTTGAACTTATGGTTTGTGTTAGTGGATCATTTTCCAATGCAGAGAGCCCATATCTTCACACCTCAAGCACATCATTACCTTACTCAAAAGATTCTTTATCATTTTTTAAATGTGTGTTTTTCTTTAATTAAATTTATTGGAGTGACATCCTATATAATAAAGGGCAAGAGGCGTCACTACCAGAACAACCAGCGACCAGACCACCACAGCTCCTTACAGGACTGGCCCTGCCCCTAAGCAAGTGGTTAGGGGTGACCAGGCAGGCAGGCAGAGTGGTTAGGGGAGATCAGGTAGGCAGACAGCCTCTTGCAGGGCTGGCCCCTCCCCCCAGCAAAGAGAGAGAGGCTCAGGCCAGCCAAAGAGAGAGAAGCTCACATGCTAGCCTGTTGCTTGTAGAGGGAGGCCACAAGTGGCAAGGGAGGGGGAGCAGTGCTGCACAGGTGGCAAGCAGTGGCAGGGGTAGGGATGGGGCCAGCTGCCCACAGCCAGGGGGAGGAAAGCCCTGCTAGACCGCCATCTCAGGCCAGGCCTAGGGACCCTAACTGAGGGGTTCCGGATTGTGAAAGGGTGCAAGCCGGGCTGAGGGACCCTCCCCACCCCTCGAGTGAACGAATTTTCATGCACCAGGCCTCTAGTTGGTTAATAAAATTATATAGGTTTCAGGTATACAATTCTATAATACATCATCTGTATATTATTGTGTTCACCCCCAAGTCAAGTCTTCTTCAGTCACCATTTATTCTACATAAACCTCTCAACCTCTTCTAGTTACTCCAACTCTCTTTCCCTTTTGGTAATAATCATACTACTGTCAGTGTCTATAAGGTTTTTAAGTTTATTAGTTTTTTACTTAATCCCTTCACCTTTTTCTCCCTGCCTAAAACCTTTCTCCCCTCTGACAGCAGTTTGTTCTCTATGAGTCTGTTTCTATTCTGTTTGTTAGTTTATTTTGTCTATTAGATTTTGCTTATATGGTATATGTCTTTCAGTAATTAGCTTATTTCACTTAGCATAAAGCTCTCCAGGTCCATCGATGCTGTTGCTAAGGGTAAGATTTTCTTCATTTTTGTAGCCTCCTAGTAGTCCATTGTGTAATTGTACCACAGCATTTTTATCCACTCATTTTTATCCACTACTGATGGACACTTAAGAATCTTGGCTGTTACACAGGAGTGCATGTGCATGTGCATGTGCATGTGCATATATTCTTTCCATTTAGTGTTTAAGATTTCTTCAGATATATTCCCAGAAGTGGATTCATTGGATTATAAGGCAGTTCCATTTAAAAAAATTAAATCTTTATTATTGAAAGTATTACATATGACCCCCTTTTTACCCCATTAACCCTTTCTAGCCTGGCCCCATCCTCCACCCCAGGCCTTCACAACCCTATTGTCTGTGTCCATTAGTTATGCATATATGCATGTAAGTTCTTTGGTTGATGTCTTACCACCACCACCCCCTCCCTCTAAATTTCTGCAGTCTGTCCCATGCTTCTAGGTCTCTGTTTATCAGTTTATTTTGTTCATTAGATTCCATATATGAGTGAGATCATATGATAATTGTCTTTCTCTGATTCACTTATTTCACTTAGCCTAATACTCTCCAGATCCCTCCATGCTGTCTGAAAAGAGTAAGAAGATCCTAGAGATCCTTCTGTTTTGATTTTTAATCCTCATCTGATATTTTTCCATTGATTTTTAGAGAGAGAGGGAAAGACAGAAATATCGATGTGACATAAACACATCAATTGATAGTTTTTTTGATTACTGCTTCTACTTCATTAGTTGTTATTGGCCTTTTCAGGTTTTCTGATTCTTCCTGATTCAGTTTTGGGAGATTGTATTTTTCTAGGAATTTGTCCGTTTCCTCCACATTGGCTAGCTTGTTGACATATATTGAAATCATGTCAAGCATCTTCTCAAATCACAATAAAATGAAATTAGAAATCAACAGTTAAAAACAGTTTGTCATAGTATTTTTTTTACAATCTTTTATATTTCTGTAGTGTCAGTTGTTACTTCTCCACTTTCATTTTTGATTTTATTTATTTGGGTCATCCCAGTTTCTTCACGAGTCTGGTTAATGGTTTATCAGCCTTGTTTATCTTTTCAAAGAACAAGCTCTTCGTTTCATCGATCTTTTTTATTTATTTTTATTTTTAGTTTCTATTATATCATTTATTTCTGCTCTAATCTTTATTATTTCCTTCTACTCACCTGGGGCTTTTCTTATTGTTCTGTTTCTAATATTATAAGTTGTAGGATTAAAAAGTTTATTAATAATTTTTCTTATTTTTTTTGAGGTAGGCCTGTAGTGTCTTTCAGGACTGCTTTTGCTGTGCCCCAGAGATTTGAGTTTGTTGTGTGTTTACTTTCATTTATTTCCAGGAATTTTAAAAATTTATTTTATTTTATTTTATTGGTAACCCATTCATTGGTTAATAACATGCTATTTAGTCTCCATGTGTTTGAATGTTTTTTAGTGTTTTTACTGTAGTTGATTTCTAATTTCATTTCATTTCATTTCATTGTGATCTGAGAAGATGCTTGATATGATATCAATCTTCTTGAACTTGTAGAGATTTTTTTTTATGTCCTAACATGTGGTCTATCTTTGTGAATGACCCATGTACACTTGAGAATAATGTATATTGTGCAGCTTTGGGATGAAATGTTCTACAAATGTCAATTAAATCCATCTGATCCAGTGTGTTATTTAGAGTCAATGTTTCCTTTTTAATTTTTGCCTAGAAGATCTATCCATTGAAGTCGGTAACATGTTAAATTCCCCTACTATAACTGTTTGGCTGTCAATCTCTCCATTAAAGTCCTCTACAAGTTTGTTTTGTTTTGTTTTGTTTTTAATATATTTAGGTGCTCCTATATTGGGTGCATATACACTGAGTGGCCAGATTATTATGATTTCTAAATACATAATAATCTGGCCACTCAGTGTGTGTGTGTGTGTGTGTGTGTGTGTGTGTGTGTGTGTGTGTGTATTAGAGGCCCGGAGCATGAATTCCTGCATGGGTGGTATTCCGGCCAGCCTGGCCGGGGGAAGGGGACATGGGCAGTTGGCTGGCCTGCCTGCTGGTCGAACTCCTGATTGAGGAAACAATTTGTATATTAACCTTTTATTTTAAAGGATATACATTGAGTGGCAAGATTATTATTTGTTCAGAGATCATAATAATCTGGCCACTCAGTGTATGTTTACCTGAGTTATACTCTCTTGTTGAATTGATCCCTTTCGTATTATCTAGTGACCTTTGTTGTGTCTTGTGATGGCCTTCATTTTGAAGTCTATTTTGTCAGATATGAGTATTACTACCCCAGCTTTTTTTATGTTTCCATTTGCATGGAAAAATTTTTCCCATCCTTTTGCTCTCATCTTTAGTCTTTTGTTCTAAGTGGGTCTCTTGTAGACAGCATATAATTGGGTCATGATTTTGTATCCATTCAGCTACCTGTTGTCTTTTGATTGGAACATTTAATCCATTTATTTTTAAGATTATTATTGATAGGTACTTAATTATTGCAATTTTAATTCTATATGCCTGTTTCTCTATATATTTCTTCTTCTCATTACCGCAGACCCTGAAAAAAAAGCATTTCTTTCAGTGCTGGTTTGGTGGTGATAAACTCCTTCAGCTATCTTTTTTTTTTTTTTTTTTTTTTTTTTTTTTTTTTTTTTTTTTTCTGGGAACCTCTTTATTTCACCATCTATTTTGAATGATAGGCTTGTTCGATGTAGTACTCTTGATTTCAGGTCCTTTTCATTACCTTGAATTCTTCATGTCATTCCTTCTGGCCTGTAGAGTTTCTGATGAGAGCTCCTTTGTTCATAACAAATTGCTTTTCTCTTGCTGTCTTTAAGAGTATTTGTCTTCAGTTTTTGGCATTTTAATTATGATATGTCTAGGCGTGAGCTTGTTTGGATTCTTCCTGCTTGGTATTCTCTGTGCCTCCTGGACTTGTGTGACTGTTTCCTTCACTTGGTTAGAGAATTTTTCTACTATTATTTCTTCACTTTCTTCTCTTTCTGGCATCCTATTATGTGAATAATGTTTTGATTCATGTTGTCCCACAGCTTCCTTAAGCTGGCCTCCTGTTTTTTAATTGTTATTTCTTCTTGGTTCTATGATTGAGTGATATTTTTCTGCCCTATTTTCTAAATCACTTATCTAGTTCTTAGCTTCCCTTAATTCTTTCAATGTGTTCTTTATTAGCTCTGTGTCATTCTTTATTTGTGAATGGTTTTTTTTTTCATAGTTACTATCTTTTCTCATGCTGTAGAGCTTTTTTGCCATCATTATGCTAAGCTCCATATCAGATACATTTCTTATCTCCATTTTGTTTACATCTTCTTCTGGAGAATTCTCTTATTCTTTTCTTTTGGGAGTGTTTTTTATCTCCCCATTTTGTCTGACTGGGTTTGTATCTATGTATTAGATAGATCTGCATTGATCTAATATCTAGTGCAGGACAATGGCAGATGCTGTTTCTGACTTGCCCTGAGTACCCTGTTTGGAGCTGTCACCAACCCACCTCTTATGGCCCCCTCTGCTGGGCCTGCTTGCCTTTGGAAAGGACCAAGATGTACACCAGAGTTTGCTTTTCCTAGGCCCGGGCCTGAAGGAGATCAGAGACTCAAAGCCTCCAGAGATCTGCCTCTGCCTGCAGTCCGATTTACACTCAGGTTTGATTAGACTCAGACTATCATGTACACTTGAGAATAATGTATATTGGGTGGGGCAAGAGGACTTCCAAAAGGGTGGAGCAACTGCCTTCCCTTCAAACAAAAACCACCTGGATATCAAAGGTCCTAGAGAAAGATGTCCTCTGTGGGCAGTTGTATTATACTGAAAAGTGAGTGGGATCAGAGCCTGGAGAATTAGAGCTAAGTTTCAGGTCTGCTACTTACTGAGTGCCCTGAAGCAAGCTAAATTTTTAAAATCCTGGGACTAATGAGAAGTTCAGGGGTAACTCTAGAGTAAATGTTAGGCAAAATTGCAAGATGGTAATGTTGGAGATGGAGGTCAGGTACTTATACTAGTTTATGCTTAGGAGCTTGGATTTTGTATCTCTAATGCAGTCTTTCTCAACCTTGGTACTATTGACATTTTGGACTGAATAGTGTGTGTGTGTGTGTGTGTGTGTGTGTGTGTGTGTGTGTGTGTAGATGTATCCTATACATTTTAGGACGTTGAGCAACATCCCTGGTCTCTACCCACTAAGTACCAATAGCACTCTCTCAGTTATAGCAAATAAAAATTTCTACAAACATTACCAGATATTGCATTGGGGTGGGGGCGGGGAGCGTGGCAAAATCATACTGGTTGAGAACCTTGGAATTAATGCAGAGCCATTGAACCTAGGGTTAGTAGTTGGCTTGTTTGTTTCAAGGAAGTAATTTTTCTGATAATGAACTGTGCTTATTGTTACAAATTCTCATACTCTAATAGATTCTAAAAATAATGTTTAAAAAGTCATTTAAACCCCACCAGGCATAAATAACTTTTTTAAAGCATTTGATTAATATTTTCTCAGCATGCTAGAGGATTTAAGGTACTTTTAAGGATTTAAGATATTGACCTTGTTCTTGAAGTTATAACCTGTTAGCCTCTCACTAGTTGGCAGCAGAGAATTGGGTAGTGACAAGACTTTTTTGTTTGTTGGCTCTACAACCACTTTCATTGACTATAAACTCAGTATTTTTTTTTTTTTTTTGTCTGTGTGTATGTCTGGTATATTTCTTATAGGTACTAAATTTAGGCTAAATAAACTGGTTTGATAGGAAAGCATTAGTAATTCATTTCATATAGGTTTTACAAACTAGTTAATAGTTATTATTAAGGCTTTATTATATATCAGATGTGAATCGCTGTATCTGAGTACTCAAAGACCTCTAGATGCTAGCAAATGTTACCACTACTTTATAGATAAGAAAATTAGTACTCAGGTGGTTAAATGAATTTCTTAAAGTCATCCAGAGAGTAGGTGGAAGAGTCTGATCCCTGCCCAAATCTGTCTGATTCCAGAGCTAGGGGATCTTTTCTATACATCACTGCTGCTGCATTCATTAACTTTTAGCAGCAAGCACATATCAGTCCTTTATGAGAAGGGCAATTAGGTTGCTGAATATTGGACAGATAACTTTGGATGGATGCACACACCCCTAACTAGATTTTCTTCAGTAACTTGGCAAATAGAGTAAATGGTGGACATGTGAAGAGTAGCCCTGAAATATGTTTATTGGGGCACATTATTCTTAGTTGTCACCCCTTTTCCTCTCAGCAGAAGGCAACATGTATTCATTCATAAGCAATAGAATCATAAAATTGCATAGTTATATTTACAAAAATATTTGCTAAATTCTTAATATTTGAAATGTTCATAAAAGCTCATTACTTTTCAGTTTGGAAAAAAATTTAAATGGTCATAGAAAACAGTTTATCTTATTAATAACATGAAAATTTCAATGAGAAACTAAGAAAATGTTATCCAACAATTATTAGTATTTTTGTCCTAGCAAATAATGTTTGTAAATTAGCTTTAAAAAGAGTATTCTAATGATTGTATTTTTCTTCAGAGTAGAAATTTATTGAAAAATATTGTAATAATTTCTCTGAATCAAATGAAATAGTAAATACAAATTGCATGGGGCTAATTTATACTAGCAAAAGGATAATATGCTAATTATATTGGACGTCCTTCTGGACAAAGCCATGGTGGCGGGGCCAAGGCAGAGACAGTTAGGAGCAGTCAGGTCAGGAGGGGAGGGTAGTTGGGGTGATCAGGCTGGCAAGGGGGGCCAGTTTGGGGCAAGCAGACCAGCAGGGGCCGCAGTAGGGGGCGATCAGGCTGGCAGGGGGGGGGGCAGTTGGTCGTGAGCAGGGCAGCAGGCAAAGTGGTTAGGGATGATTGGGCAGGCAGGTGAGTGGTTAGGAGCCAGTGGTCCCGGATTGCAAGAGGGATCCCAGATTGGAGAGGGTGCAGGCTGGGCTGAGGGATACCTCCTCTCCCCTCCTCCCCCATGTACAACTTTCATGCACCGGGCCACTAGTAAATAATAATAAACTTCAAAGGATTCTTGAAAGAGTAAATAAGAAATTGTAAGACCATAATATATTATTTTTTATTTCATAATTATAGTATTTTATTTTACACGAACTAACTTCTGGTTTATTGAGTGATAAGAGAATTGGATAAAGTTATTTTGTTCTAACTCAGATATTTTTTCCTACATACAGAAACACTGTCAGTTGTTGCTGTGGAACTAGAACTAAGGGACTTCTTGAATGTCCTTCCAGAAGATGGCACTGCAGCATTTTTCTTGCCATATCTTCTTTACTGTAGCCGAAAGAAGTCATTGACTTGAAGGTATCATTTGGAAATCAGCATAATAGCATGTGAGACTGAATTTTAAAAAAATTGAATGCCAATTAAAAATAAAAATAAAGGATTTTTATATTGAATATGTGCATATACTGCAAATGCTTTCATGTTGCTTATCTTACCATGGTATTTCATAATTTATTACCTGAATCCATTTAGGTTCTACCCAGAATCTAAAAACTACTAGGTAACAGAATTTTCTCAAAGAAGCCATATATTTTTTGAAGTAGAGATTGACTTTTATTTCAAAGAACATCAATTTACTGTTGTCAGAGATATGGCAATTGTTTTTATCCCAGGACCACAAAGAACCATTTTGCAACTATGTGTAAAAGAATGTCACTCCATGAGATCTAAAATTCAGTCTTTTTGTTTTTTCCAGTTTTTCTATTTGGTCCCTTTTTAAAACAATTTTCTTTGAGAAAGATGTTAATATTTTCCCACAGTAAAAGATTTCAAACTTTATTATTTTGTTACTTTTAAAACCCACTGCTGCCTTTTTCTCTCAATCACATGAAGTAGAATTTTACAAAGTAACTTTCTTGACTGGCTGTTACCATGATATGCTGAATACCTGCTTTTCAGCCAAAACTTCATTTCCATTTTTTCATTAAGGTGTACTCTTGCTCTTTTAGCTAGAGTGTATATGAAAATAAAGGAAAATATAATTATATTCACAACTGTGTCATCTTTTTTAGCTTATCTCAAACAATTTTAAGTCCAAGTTCAGCTCATTGATAATCTTCTTTGACTGCTTAAGGCTGGGCATAGTGCTACTCACCAGGCATCTGCCACAGCCATATTTTGAAAACTTTCTGAGGATTTAATCTATACAATTCTTAACTTGGCCTTTTTTTTTTTTCAGTTCCAGATTCATATACTTTTGACCATTTCTTTAGGGGTTCATTTTTTATTTTATTTTAAACTAGAGGCCCAGTGCACAAAATTCATGCAGGGGAAGGGTCTCCCACAGCCTACCCTGCACCCTCTCCAATCTGGGACCCCTCGGTGGGATCAGGCCTAAACAGGCGGTCGGACTTCCTCTCACAGTCCAGGACTGCTGGCTCTCAACTGCTCGCCTGCCTGATTGCCCCAAACCACTTCTGCCTGCCATCCTGATCACCCCCTAACCACTCCCCTACCAACCTGATCAATGCCTAACTGATCCCCCTCTGGCCTGATTGCCCCTAACTGCTCTCCCCTGCTGACTTGGTCATTCCTACCTGCCCTCCCCTGCCAGCCTGGTCACCCCTAACTGCCCTCCCCTGCAGGCATGGTTGCTCCCATCTGCCTTTCCTTGCAGGTCTGGTTCTCCCGAACTGCCCTCCCCTGTAGGCCTGGTCGTTCCCAACTACCCTTCACTACAGGCTTGGTCCCGCCTAACTGCCCTCCCCTGCATCAGGCTTGGTCACTCCCAACTGCCCTCCCCTGTGGACCATTTTGTGGTGGCCATCTTGTGTGTTGGAGTGATGGTCAATTTGCATATTATTTCTTTATTATATAGGATTATATAAGATACTCATTTAATTTTTACTTTTAATTTTATTATATTATTTATTGCTTTATTTTAAATTACACTTTCCTGTATCCCTATGTCTACTGGTTCCTTAGGAATGGTGTCAGCAGCACATTAGAGGGATTGATGGGGAATCCAAAGATTGGAAACATATTAATGAATCTTAATAGTAATCCTTTGAAGACTATCGAAAGACCATATCTGATCATAGATTTTTTTTTTTTTTAAATACAGCTTTATATAGCCCCAGTGATGGTGACACAAATGGCCTGTATCAGTGGTCTGTAAACTGCAGCTCCTGAGCTACATGGGGCTTGCAAGCCATGGTTTGCTGATCTGTTGACTAATGAGTTTGCCGACCACTGACCTAGACTCTTGATTCTAATAATTGAAGGCTGTTTTTGTTCTTTGTGATTAAGCCCCTATCCCAGTAGTCGGCTCACAAGCTGCAGTTTGCTGACCACTGGCTTATATGAATCAGTTAAAGTACCTAGTGTGAAAGGGGAGAAACCAAGATAGTAAACACCTAAACTGCTGCCTTGCACAATTTCAAAACTACAACTAAAAGACAGAATGGACATCATCCAGAATCACAGGAAAGCTGGCTAAGTGGAAATTCTACAACTAGAAGGAAAGAGGAAAGCACATGGAGAATCAGAGGAGCTTCAAAGGACTGAGGTACAGAAACATGTGAGCAGAGAGGAAGGGCGGCTGAGTGCCTGGTTGGCATTCTCTGATGGGAGAGGGAAGGAAGCCCCCGACTGCACTGAACCCCAGTTCTGGGTGAAATGCTATGGACCCAGGCTCACGTGGGGGGAGTCTGGACTGTCAGGTAGAGAAAAAGGCACATGGAGACTTGGGGAAGCCACAGCAGGCAGGGCTCTGGAGGCGCGAGCACAAGACTGACTGCTGAGGTTGCCGCTAGCTCTCCCTAGTGGAAGGGAGTCAGATGCTCCTGACTGCACTGAACCCCAGTTCCGGAGGACCTGGGGGAATCTGGACCGTCAGGCAGAAACTCAGGGGATCTAAAGAAGGCAGAGGTCTGGAGGTGAGTGCGCAAGGGTAAGGCTGACAGGATGCCAAGACTGTCTTCTTAGTCCTGAGACTCAACCCCGTCCAAGCCGAGCATAGAGGCTTTTACAAAAGTCTGGTCCAAGAAGGCTATCTCCAGCACAAGTCTCCTGGCGTAGACACAGCTGATACACATAGCCAATTGGCCTGGAGGTCAATTCCTCCCAGTGATAACAACAACAACCAAGACTTAACTACAACAAGGCTGTACACACAGACCACAAAGGGGGGCACTAAGAGTGACCACCTCAGGTGATTGGGGAGGTTGACCCACTGGGCCATATAGGAAACCTAGCACACATGCTACCCTACCAACTCAGGGAAGCAGCGAAAATGTGGAGACAAAGTAACAGATCACAAACAAAAGAAATGGAGGAAAATAAATGACTGGATATAGAGTCCAAAACCACGGTTATAAGATTTTTCAAGGATTTCCTAGAAAAGGCCGATAAATTTAGCGAGACCCTTGAGGATATGAAAAAGGACCAACTAGAAATTAAATACCGTATTTTCCGGCGTATAAGACAACCCCCTAATTTTACAGTTAAAACATAGGTTTAGGCCTATATTCACTGCATAAGACTACCCCCCCACTTCAAAGAAAAGACTTACTTTGCCATCAAGATCTGCAGGTAATTTTTGTGCAATTTTGGTCTTTTGCCCCTGATTTTTGGTTGACTTTTTTTCATTTCAAAAGTTGTCTTCGAAGATGGCTGCTCGGGTAGACATCTAGCCGCGGCAGCACACAACAATTTCAATGGAATACAACTAAAATGTAGAGTGGACATTGCCCAGAGCTACAGGTAGTCGACTGACTGAAATTTCTACAACAAGAAGGAAAGAGAAAACCAGAAAGAAAATCAGAGGAGCTGAAAAAAAGCCTAAGGTACGGAGACATGCTGCATGCCCGCCCGCACGAGCGCACGGAGAGGTCACAGCCGGAGAGGAGGAGAGGGCGGGGAGCTGCCTTTCCTTCCCTAGCAGGAAGGAAATAAAACCTCCAGCCTGGGCTGGACCCCCGAACCGGCAGCGCTGGGCCCCCTGAACCAGCAGCGCTGAGCCCCAGTTATGGGCCAGACCCTGGGGACCCAGGTCCCAGTGGGAGAAGACAGGGCCGTGAGGCGGAAAAACGGCGACGAAAAGCAGGGCCCTGGGAGTCGCGCGCAATGCGAGCGCAGAGGACTGAATGTTGACTCTGATGCTGGGTTGCCCTAGCCAGAAGAAATAAGGCCTCCGGCGGCGGTGAGCCTCAGTCCCGACTGCTCCGAACCCCAGTTCTGGGCTAATCCCTGGGGACCCAGGCTCAGGCAGAGGGAGACAGGGCTGTGAGGTGGAGTCTGGGGAGAGCAGCGAAAGGCCGGGCCCCTGGGACTCGCGCAAACTGCGCGCAGAGGACAGTCTGTGGGACTCGCGCGGGACTCGCGCAAACTGCGCGCAGAGGACAGTCTGTGGGACTCGCGCAAACTGCGCGCAGAGGACAGTCTGTGGGACTCGCGCAAACTGCGCGCAGAGGACAGTCTATTGACTCTGATGCTGGACTTCTCTAGCGGGAAGAAGAAAAAAAAAAGCTCTAGGTTGGGGGAACGCGGAGGGGAGCCCCTGCCGGACTCCAGCCAACCGGGCACCAGCAAGGAGGCGGGCCACGGGGCCCCTGGGGGCGTGGGTGCCCCTGAGCCTTTGACCACTGAGCTCGGGCAATGGAGCCAAGGCCGGGGGCTGCTTCCTGGGCGGCGCCGTCCCTGCAACAGGCTGAAGCAGCGCAGGAGCCCGCGGAGAACAAAGGGGTGCCACAGGCCAACCTGCTGAGCTCCCAGGACAAGGAGGAAGAAACCAAAGAAGTTCTCAATGTGAAGAAATCAAGTGAGAGCAAAAAATAGTAAAATTACTTAAGAAAGAATACAAAGAAGATCTTGAAAAATCAAAGACTAAGTCAGAACTCAACTCACCAGCCAACATTGCAACATAAATGCGTTTTAAAAAGAAAAAAAAAAAGGACAGAATGTTGGAACAGCGACGGCCAGGCCTAGAGTGGCCAGGCACAAGGCAGTGGCAGCCAGACCCGGAGCAGCAACAGCCAGGCCCCAGAACAACAGCAGCCAGAACCAGAGCAACAACAGCCAGCACTGGAGTAGCCAGACCTGGGGCAGTGGCAGCCAGGCATGAGGCGGAGGCGGCCAAGACCAGGGTGGCCAGTCCAGGAACACCCAGACCAGGAGTGGCCGGGCCCGGAGAAGCCGGGCCCAGAGCAGCCGGGTTGGGAGCAGCCAGACCCAGAACAGCAGTAGCCAAGCCCAGAGCATCCAGGTCGGGAGTGGCCAGGCTCGGAGCGGCCGGGCCCGGGGCAGCCGGGCCCAGAGCAGCCGGGTCAGGTGCGGCCAGGCCCGGAGCAGCGGCTG